GTTTAAATGGTTTTATTTTAATAAAAGTTGGTGAATGTATTTATCTTACTGTAAATAACAAGTGAAAAAATTTTCAGCCTTATCAGTTGGACATTCCGGTTTTTATACTGCTTTTTTTAATTCACTAACGCTCTAAAAATGAATATTTCAGCCGCAGTAAAGAATCAACGTTGGCGGATTTTGGTTCTTGACATCCTTTACAATCGGTTACGATGCCTAGAGTACGGAGACCTGTACGATTTCGTCAACTTAGTGAATTTGATAGGGGCCGTATAGTGGGACTACGGGAAGCTGGACTTTCTTTTCGGGCAATTGCAGTTAGAGTGCAAAGAAGTGTAGACACTGGTTAGGTGTTGTCAGGTATGGCTTCGAGAAGGCCGTACGCAAAGAGCAACTGGCACTGGACGCCGCCGTAGAACAACAGACCATGAAGATCGCCGCCTAAGATTATTGGCCTTAAGGGACCGTTTTTCCACTACCAGGTCCATTGCAAATGAATGGTTTGCAGAACACGGAAGACCTATTGGCATGCGAAGTGTTTACCGACGAATGAGAAGTTTTGGCTTGTTTTCATACCGGCCACACTGGGTCCTCCCTCGAGAACACCGACGTAATCGCCTTGAGTGGTGCAGACAACGTTCACTCTGGGATCAAGAATGGAACAGTATTGTCTTTGGTGACGAGTTTCGATTTTGTTTAGACATGCACGATGGTCGTGCCAGGGTTAGAAGGCGACGTGGTGAAAGGAGGAATCCACAGTTTTTTGTTGAAAGACATGTTCATCACACTGTTGGAGTTATGGTTTGGGGTGCTATAGCTTATGGTTCCAGGTCACCTTTAATCTTCATCAGAGGTAACATGAACGCGCAGCGTTATATCCACGAAGTTCTAGAACCCCATCTTTTACCCTATCTTGACACCCTGGCAGATCCAACTTTCCAACAAGATAATGCCCGACCACATGTTGCAAGAGTCACAATAGACTTCTTTCAACATAATGATGTCACATTGTTACCATGGCCACCAAGATCTCCCGACTTATCCCCAATTGAGCACGTGGGGGATATGATGGGTAGGAGATTGCTCAATTTGCAACGTCCTCCTCAGACTCTAGAAGCACTTCGAGAGGAGTTGGTTGTTGCCTGGAATGAGGTACCACAGGAGGACATTGACCACCTGATCAGAAGCATGCCTAGGCGCGTTGGAGAATGCGTAGCACATCAGGGTTCATCCACACATTATTAAAGGTCAAAGGGCTTTAAAGCAGTGCAATCATTTTGAAATTTTTATCTTTTACTTATTATGCTTCATTAAGTACTTATACAAAATTTTATTAAAATAAAACCATTTAAACTGGGTGTTCGGATTTATATGTCACTTAGTATATATTTAAACAAAATTTCAACAGTATAACCAATCATCTAGTCCATTCCCGATGATCTAAATTAGTTGATACTATGCTGTCAAAACTTGTCTTTTAGATGTTATTTAAAAAGTCCAGTGACGTCCTACCCTTAATATTAACTAGTCACAATATCTTTTGATTGCTTTATATGAACTCGAGAACATCTTTTACATTTAAACTGTTGGTACTACCGTGGCAGAAGGACTACGCCTATGACAGGAATAAATGAACTCAAATAAACTGAATTCCCGCGAATCTCTATACGGGGTGTCCCAGAAGTCGTGATCAAACCCGAAACGGGGGATAGGCAAGTAATAATAGTTATCAGAAAAATACAAAAAAATCCAAGTCGTGTACTTTTCAAATTATAGGCTTAAATAAATCAGAAAAATCGGAAAATCTACACCCTGTGGTGATTTTTTAGTTCCCATTACAACGAAATTCAAAAGTAGCGACCGAAAGTGTCATTCTACGTAGCAAGACAGATAGTAACGTCACTTTTATTAATTCATGGATGTATTTATTAAATTCACAATAAATGTTCAAACTACCTTCCTTCAGGAGGAGGATTATAGGCATGGTTTTATCCGCGAAGTCTTCGTCGATTTTGCTATCCACTGTCGTACCGAAACCTCCACCGACAACAGCGCGGCCTGTCATCGTCCCACTCAACCTATGACCGTCAAGAGATGCAGGCACTTTGCATTAACTGTTACCCGACCAGCCGCTTCGTACGCTTGAAACTGTTATTAACATAAATCATAATGTTATAAACTTCCGATTACGTTGGAATCAGTAAATTGATAGAACTTCGTTACCTTATTAGAGGCGCCGTGGCGCGACCTACTCGTTCCGCGGGGGCAGAAAGCTAGTTTGAGGTAAAAATGAAAGTTCAAAGCCCACTATATATGCCGTTTACCTGTTGTATACCTACCGCGGTCGCTAGTAGTAGCCGGTGATATAAATACAGAGTTGGCGGTGAGATGGTGGTGTTCTTTGTTTCTGCGCGGTTCGCGTCAACAAAAAGTGACATAAGAGAGCACAGTCCATGGCGCACCGGATGTCGTCGGCTGAAAATAAACTCATTGCTTTCCCGGCACGATGCGGCGGATGGTACATGGAACTGTCGAAGGAACGGAGATAAACAACTCTAAACAGAGAATATTGCATTAGCGACAATATTGATAATAAAACAGCTGAGGAAAATATTTTCCTTTTTGTGCCATGTCAGGTTCTCCCGACGTTAAAATTTACAATGGCGAGTTTTTATGTTTTCGGCTAGTGGGATTATTGTTTTCGGCTTTGAAAATATCTTAAATTTTAAGTCTATCACATTGAGGAAATTTTTGCATTTAAACTTTTTAGAACATGTACTTTAAATATACAGTAATGGACAAAAGTATATAGACAAGTATGAATATTTACCTAAATACCTTCATACTTCATTGCTCCATAAAAAAATGCGTTATTAGAAGAAAAACTAAATTCCTTGTTTTTACATTATCTGCAATGAACACAATAAATATAAGCAGTTTTTTTATGAGGGACAAAAATATGTAGAGAAATTCTTTTCAACATTAGTTTAGTACAGTTTCGTGTCAGAAGAGGATTAGTTTGTGTTCATCAAGTATTGTGGAATAAGTTGAGTGATTTTAAGACCATGCCGCGTGGTCCAGAAATTTCTTTCGATGTGAAAACTAAGATCATTGAGTTATACAAAGATGGTCAACGTCAAGTCGACATTGCCAAAAATTTGAAGCTGAAGCGTAAAGCAGTTTGGGCAATATTGAACAAATATAAACAAAAAGGTATCTTGGAAGCCTCTAAGAGAAGTGGTCGGCCTAGAAAACTAAATGCTAGATCAGTTAGATTAATAAGAGTAATTTCGTCCAAAGATCCCTTTGAAACCCCAAGACAAATAAAAGCCGAAATCGAGACAAAAGGGATTGTCAGTGTTTCTACGAAAACTATAAGTAGAAGATTAAATGATTTGAAGTTATTTGCACGTCGCCCGAGTAAGAAGCCGCTAATCTCGAGGAAAAACCGTAAGGACCGATTACAATTTGCACGGTTGCATCTTGATGGGAGCATCTGTGACTGGAAGTGGGTACATTTCAGTGACGAATCCAAGTTCAATACGTTTGGATCAGATGGTGTTCATTACGTTAGACGTCCTAGAGGACAAAGATTGAACCCCAAGTACACTTTGCCCACTGTCAAACATGGAGGCGGGTTATATGGTTTGGGGGTGCTTTTCGGGGTTTGGGATGGGACCTTTACATAGAATAGATGGCATTATGGATAAGTTTGTATACACAGACATACTAAAGCATGTCATGTTACCTTATATGGAAGACAATATGCCTTTAATATCAATCTTCCAGCAAGATAATGACCCAAAGCACACTTCAAATCTCGCAAAGAAATTCTTTCTGGATGAAAAAATACCAGTTCTCAAGTGGCCTTCACAGTCTCTCGATATAAACCCCATTGAAAATCTATGGGAATACTTAGATGCGCAAATACGAGATAAAAATTATTCAAACAAGGATGAACTTTTTGCCGCTTTAGAGCAAAAGTGGAGACAGATCTTATATCAAGAAGCTTCTACAATCTATGCCGAGACGATGCCAGGCGGTGATTGATAATAATGTTTATGCTACAAAATATTAACACAAACATGGTTGGTTTTCTATAATTCAATGAACTTTGCTTCTTTTTTCATAGTTCCAGTTTTTTCAATTAATTTTTTATTGAAGGGAGTCTAATGAATTTATTTATGTATAAGTGAGTATTATGCTATAACGAATTATGTATACAGGTTGGTGTATTAATAAAACAAGTTAAAAAAGAACTACAGCACAATATTAATTTGTCTATATACTTTTGTCCATTACTGTACATTATTCTTTTTATTTTAATACTTTATTGTTTTTTAAAAATCCAAAGTTGGCAATTTTGGCATTTTCATCACAAGTTTACCCATTTTATAATATTTAAGTATTTTTACATGAGCGCATGGTCGCAATACCACTCACTAAAGGCCGTCTCGTCAGTTGTTCCTACAATTCTAGTACGCCTTTATGGCTTCCTTGATTTTTATTGTTTTTACTGTCCTCCAGAAAGGCAGAAAAATTTCTAGATTTCTACTGTTCCGTGTTAGCGCTCTATTTTGAGTTAATGTTCTCTTTTTGAATTTTAAGAAATTTCAAGTTGATGAAACTTGATGTTTATCATGTGTTTTATAATATAGATCTACAAATAACCCAGCCTTTATGAAGGAGAGAAAAGAGTCTAAAACTCAAGGAGGCCATAAAGGCGTTCTACAATTATTCTAGGAACGAAAGACGATATGGCACTAAGACAAAAAATATATAAAAATAAAAGTGTTTCTCACATTAAAAGGAAATGTTTATCTCCTATTACGAGGGATGCATTGCATGGAAATAAAACAACACGGTGGGTAGTTTTAAATGACTTTATTGTTTTTCGAAGTATTCTCCACGAAGATTAATACACATCTGCATGCGCTCGAACCAATTTTCGAAGCACTTATTCCACTAGTTTGCTGGCAGATCCAAGACGACATTTTTGAATGCGTCAACTGCTTCTTCTGGTGACTGGAACCTTTGACCACGCAGTCTGTTTTTAATTTTCGGGAAAGTAAAGAAATCGTTAGGACTTAGATCGGGACTATATGGAGGATGCTCTAATAATTCCACGTTTTCTTCCGTTAAATACTGCCTTGTTTTTTGGACTGTGTGCGAGCTTGCATTGTCTTGATGGAGGATGATTCTTCTTTCGGGGTTGATTTTTCGAAGCTCGGTGATGACTTTTGCCAAACAAATGGTGGTATACCAATCCGCAGTAACAGTTCATTGCTCATTAATAGGAATTGTTGCAATGTGACCCGCTTTTGACACAAATGTCTTTTTCGAAACACTTCGAGAACGGATGACTTTTGTTGGCTTTTATTCACCTTAGAACACCCAAACAGCCGACTGTCGTTTATTTTCTGGTTCATAACAGTAAGTCCACGATTCATCACCACTAAGAGTGCTGTACACATTTTTTTAGTTTCCGGGATTGAAACGTTCAAGCGTTTTTTGACACCAATTAACCCTGTCTGCTTTCTGCTGTTCAGTCCAACGAGAAACTAATTTTCTTACTCCTAATTCTTCATGTAAATTTTTTTAAATTGAGGTCTTTGAGATCCTCAAGGACACATGTCACATGTCTTTCTTCAATGATGAGTTTGCGGACAGCATCCACGTTTTCCTGGGTGATTGCCGTTTTTGGTTCACCCACCCTGGGATCGTCGCTAAGACTCACCCATCCACGTTTGAATTCTCCGTACCAACGGAAAATTGTCGACTGATGTGCCGGTTCGTTGCCGAAAACAGACAGTAACTCAGCAAGGCATTCTTGTTGCGATAATTGTCTCTGAAAGTTGTAATAAATTGTGGCGCGAAAATGTTCTCGGTTGAGTTCCATTTTTCTAATGACTTAGTGACACTTAAAAATTCACTGTAGCGAGAACACTGCACGTATTGTTGTGAAACTTTGAATTTAAGTTTACTAAAGAGTGAGGTTAAGATTCAGTACTGACGTTCGATCCGCGCGGCCTACTATGTTTCTATATGCAAAACTTAAAAGACGTCCCTCGTATCATTGTGTATTTATTGTTTTGTTTCAACTTTTGTTTTTAATAAGAGCATAGCGAGACAATATACCTAATTTTTATATACTGCGAAAGGTTGGGAAATCTCGAAACTGGAGATACTACAGACCAAAATATGTGAATTGACCTAAACATACCTCAGTCCAAAAGTTGATAGTTTGCGAGATGCAGAGTGTCAAAGTTACAATTTTATTTTCTATTTTTCCCTATTGCTTGAGAAGTATTTCAGATTTTGGTATACATCTAGGTATAGGGAGGTTTTTTAATATGAGAAACAAGAATCCGTTATTTTTTATGACCAAACTCCTAGAGGGCGCCACTTACAGCACTATTTCGGTAAATAACATCATAACTTTTTTGTGCTACTCTGTATGCAACTGACCGAAAAATCTTATTTTCTCGTATTTCCACAATAAAAAAGGTTTACTTGTTAGAAGTGCCTAAAACTAATAGTTTTCGAGATATCTGTTTTTAAAAGTTCCAATGCATTATTTGTACCATGATGATAAAACATTTTTATAACATAATAATCAAGTTGCTTTGGATAATATCTGAGTAGCGTTGCTATGGTTTCCAACAGTAACAAATGAGGATGGTAACAGAACTAATAAACGGAAATAATAACTACAAAAATTGTTCAAAATGAGCACCACCTTGCCTAACACACTCTCCAGCTCGACGAACTAATCCTTGCTGCACTCTGCAAAGCATTTGGATGTTATTTTTCCTTTCCTTGCTATGGTGAAAAATTCTATGTCGAAGATCATCTACAGTTTCCACTGCCGTATTGTAAACGAATCGTTTTAAATAACTCCAGAAGAAGAAATCTGTAGGATTTAAATATGGTGATCTACAGGACCTGATCGGCCTATCCTCTGGTCTGGATAAACTCTATTTAGGTGCTCTTTAATATACTAAAATGAGGTGTAGCGCCGTCGTGCATAAACCACATATTCATGCGTGTTTGTAATGGAAGATCTTCCAGCAGAGTGGGTAATTGTAAATTGTAAATACCTTTGGCCATTTACTCTAGGTGGTAACTCAACGGGTGATATTAAATATTGTCCAATTATTCCTGCCCATAAATTAATTTAAAATTGTACCTGGTGGCGAGTTTGTATTATTGCATGAGGATTTTCGTCTGCATAAATGTGAAGAATGTGCGAGTTATTGGCACAGCCCTTCCAATTTATGCTTCGTCCGAAAATAATATTAACGAATTAAACCATTGTCGTGGTTAAATTTCCTTATGAGCATGTACAAAATTCTACCCTTGCGGGTTAATCATCCGCGCTTAAACCATGTACTTTTTGCAGGTGGTATCGATGGAACAGTTGCTCTTGAAAAATGATATTTACTGTACATTTGGAAACATGAAATTTTCGAGCTACATTCCTAACCCCAACTGTAGGATTTTCAAAGGCAGTATCTAAAACATTTTCTTCAACTTCAGCTGTACGTACAGTTCTGGCAGCTCCACTATGTCGGCCCATATTTTGAGCAAAACTACCTAAAATCCAAATGGTTTTTACTACTCAAAATAAGGCTATAATCATTTCTTACCAGTTTCTCGTAAGCGCTGATCGATTCGTTGGAAAGTCTTTGAATTAGGCATGTGTCTATTACGGAATCTGTTAGTGTACAATCTGCGTGCCTTTAAAGCATTACATCTTGCCAATCCGTACATTAAATGCATATCAGAATATCTATCAAACGTATACTCCATGATGTTTAACAACCTGTTGTCAACTTAAAATTATTTATGAAGTTTAAAGCAATATTATGACCGACATTAGAAACCATAGTGACTTTGACACCCTATATATCGCAATTCAATTCACATATTTTAGTCTGTAGTATCTCCAGTTTCGAGATTCCCAACATTTCGCATTTCGTATGTTTAGTATTTTGGTGTGTTTGATTATAGATTTGATGTTGCGACCCTGCGCTCATATAAAAATGCAGTCAATTATTAGAAAATGGGCGAATTTTGGACAAAAATGCCAAAATTGCAAAAAGCTTTTAAAAAGTAATCAAGTACTGAAATAAAAAGAAAAATATTGATGCAGGCTTAAAATATATACAAAGAAATACATCATAAAGTTTTTTGACGGAAAAATCTCATAGATGCAAACCTCAAGAGGGTAAAACTTGTGAACATAATCCTTTATGAATTGATAACGGCGTTGTGTGGGCGGTGCAGAATCAACCTACTTGATGTCTCTGTCGATGCTAATCACGACTTAGATGAAAGACTGTATTTCAGATCGAATTTGGCAGCTTCACCGGAACATATTTGTCACCTCGGCTGCGTCTCCTCATTTCCCTCCATTTGTGTCTGTCTCCATTCCTGACCCCATTACGAACGAATAACCCGCCACAAGCCGACATTTCATGACACCGTCGGCTCGTTTCTTAAATATTTCACGAACTGCAAGTGTAGGGGTGTGGCACTTCGGCCTTCTCAAGCGGAGAGGTGGCCGTTTTGAAACTTGCGTCGTGGGATTTTGTAGTAATTGCTTATGTAGTAGTTAGTTATGGAATATATTAATGACGCTGCACCAGAAGTAGCGAAGTGTTAATGTAACTCCTCTTACGTATCGTGTGGTTTTATTGTTCATAGGACTGCCCAAGTGCATGGGAATACTGCATACTGAATAAAAATCAATTTACTCCAATTAGACAAATGCTTGTAAAATATTCAAGTAAAACACAATGTAACGGGTGATTTTTTAAGAGGTATAGGATTTGATTTTCAAAAAAAAAAAACACAAAAACGTTCGATATAATTTAATGTTTAAAGATTATTTCCTGTAAATGTTGGCCGCGGCTCCGGTTTAGATGGCCCATGCGCAAGGTCCAATTTAGGCACACTCTCTCCAACATATCGGCCGGTATCTCACGAATAAATGCTTCAATATTGGCTTCCAGTGCGTCAATCGTTGCTGGTTTATCCCTGTAGACATTAGCCTTAACATGGCCCCACCAGAAATAGTCCAACGGCGTTAAATCACACGATCTAGGCGGCCAATTGACGGGCCCCAAACGTGAGATAAACTGTTCACCGAACTCGCCCCTTAATAGGGCCATTGTTTCGTGTGCAGTGTGGCATGTGGCACCGCCTTGTCGAAACCACATGTCAGCCAAGTCCAGCTCTTCCATTTTGGGCAAAAAAAGTTTGTTATCATCGCACGGTAGCGCTCGCCATTCACAGTTACGTTCCGGCTATTGTCGTCTTTGAAGAAGTACGGCCCGATGATGCCACCGGCCCATAATCCACACCAAACAGTGATTTTTTCGGGATGCATTGGTAGCTCTTTCAATGCTTCTGGCTGGTCTTCACTCCAGATGCGGCAATTTTGCTTGTTAACGTACCCATTCAACCAGAAATGAGCTTCGCCGCTGAACACAATTTTTCGATAAAAATGTGGATCTTCCTCCAACTTTGCCAGCGCCCATTCACCAAATTGGAAACTTTGTGGGAGGGCGTGTGGCTTCAATTCTTGCACCAGCTGTATCTTATAAGGTTTTACACCCAAATCCTGTCGTAAAATTTTCCCCGTAGTGGAGTAACAGAGGCCCAATTGCTGCGAACGGCGGCAAATCGACATTTCACGGTCATCACTAACACTGGCGGATACAGCCGCAATATTTTCTTCAGTCCTCACTGTACGTCTGCGTGTTGGTAGTTTAATGTCCAATAATGTAAACTGGGTTCGAAATTTAGTTACAAGCTTCCGAATAGCTCCCTCAGTAGGCCAAACAAATTGCCCATAAATTGGAAGCAGTGCTCGATGCACTCTCTTAACCGAGCATGAATTTTGATAGTAAAATTCAATAATTTGCAAGCGATGTTCGTTCGTAAGTCAATTCATGGTTAAATTATAGACCAAACTGAACAAGTTTGACAATGACACAAGACACGATTCACGCGTCATCTGTCAAAAACAGTGTTGCCAAAAAGATACTAGCAAAAAAATCACCCATTATTTACACCATGGCTAACTAAATTAACAGCATCAAATACCGACCATCATTTACATAATACCAGAAAGATAAACACAGGGATAAAAGACTAGAATAGTTTGACTAAATTCAAAATAAAATTGAGGAATCACTTGTTACATCTACAATTATAGCTTTCCCAGCATGTGCATCATATGGATTTGAATTTACTAATTCTAAGTTCATAATTATTCCATTTATGTTGCCAAATGTGCTAATTAAATCCTTCTAACACTACTACTATCTGGCCGAATAAAACTACATACGAGGTCTGTAAATTAAGTGACGAGACTGTTTTTTCTATAATGTATCCAAACATTACAATTTTATATTGTCACTCTCAAAATATCTTCGATCTGAAGCCACACAGCGCTGGAGACGGTTCTTCGACTCTTCATGGCAGTGGTGTAAGTCCGATACTGGAATCAATGTTGCAAGGTTCAAAAAATAATCACTTGAAATTTCGCTAAAAAATCACTAGATTGAA